TCTCTCTCTCCCTTCCACTCTGTCTGAACAAAAAATGAAAAAAAAAAATTGTTTTCTTTTGACATTAAGCTCTTTTTACTTTTATTTTTCAGAATTTTCCTGACTTTTATTATATACTAACTTTCCCCTTGGTAATTGTACAGGAACAATCGGTATTTTTTCTAGGTGTTCTAAACAAGCACATATTTATTTATTCATTTTTCCAAGTCTGGTATTATGTGCAGACTATAATAACTTTTATAGTTAGACTTATTTCAGTTTTTTGGTTGTTTGTTTGTTTTACTATTGTTAATGAGATATTTTAATCCTTTGTTTCCATCAATGTTGAGCTAATTGCTGTTTTATCTAGGGAATATATTGCTCTTTGGATATTATCTTTGTTTCCACCTATCCTACAGAGCTATTTTACTGTTCATAATATATTTTCAATAATTATCTTGAATTTTTTATAAAATTTAGGGGGAAAACCCTCAATTTTGCCATCTGCTTTCCAATTTTCATTTCTTCCCTTTTCAACTACATTGACTAGTCCTTACAGATGAATGGTAACTATCGGTGGAAATAATGTGCTGTTCTGTTTTATTTTTTACTCTAAACTGAATGTGCTTAGTGTTTCAGAATTGAGTATCACCTGGCTTTCAGTTTGAAGTCTCTTTGTCTGTCTCTTTCTGTAATAATTGGTCTATATCAGTTCCTCCACGAGGACATGATTTCAGCCTTTTCTAGAAGTTTACTGGCTGTGTGCTATTTCAGTCTGTGGATCAGTCTCCCTTAGTTTCAGGGCAGTTTTCTATCATACTGTGTTTTTGTTTTGTCTGTTCTAATTTTCCTGGTCCTATCTTCAGTAACATCAGAATTTCATGAGTGATCTGCTTTGTTTCCAAACCCATCATCTTTTTAAAAAGTTTACTGTTTACTTGATGTTCTGAAACTCTTCTCTGTATCACTGACTCTTCTTACCACAGAATATTTTCCCACATTTTGTTTCTTCTAATGTGAATTTCATTCCTTTTCTTGTTTTAGAATTCTTCCACTTCTTTTATGTACTCTGTCAAATAACTTTTAAGCTTACTCAGGTTTCTTTTTTTTTTTTTTTTTTTATCCTCGCCTGAGGACATTTTTCCATTTTTGCACAGATAGAGTGGGAGGGAGAGAGAGGAAGAGAGAGAGAGAGAGAGAGAAACATCGACGTGAAAGAGACACATCGAGTGGCTGCCACCCGCAAGACCAACCAGGGCCGGGGACAAACTGCAACCGAGGTACATGCCCTTAGCGGGAACCGAACCCGGGTCTCTCCGGACCGCAGGCCGACGCTCTAACCGCTGAGCCAAACCGGCCAGGGCTTACTCAGGTTTCTTAACTCTTCTTTGACTACTGAAATTCCTTCTCTTTTTGGTTCGGAAAAAAAAAAATGTATTTACCTTTTCTACCTTTGGGTTCTTGGAGAACTGTCTGCTGATACTTCCATTCCCACTCTTGGCCTGGGGGTAACAGTCTATTTAAGCCTGGCTGAAATTCACTGGTTCACAGGGAAGTCCCCTACATACACGGGATGTGTGTAGTGATTTAGAATTCTCTTCCACTGGGCATCAAAACTTTAATCCCTCAGTCCATCATACTGATAGGCTTTTCTTGGCGGTAATGGCATAGTGGGTTTCCTTGTTCAGTCCTGCCTGTGCCATTCGGTTTTCAGACAGAACTCAAAGACTCTTCAGCAGCCGGTTCACTAACACCTGTCATGCCACACGGAGGCGGTGTCATTGGCTCGGCCCCTCAGAAAGTTCAGGCTCCTCAGAGATTTTGAGTTCATGAAAGCTGCAAAAACATAATGCTGCTCGAAGTTTCCTCCCTCAGATACATCTATTTTACCACATTGTCCAAACCTTCTCTGTCAGTTGTGGTTTGGGGCTGTGACAGTTTCTTATTATCATAAAAGAATGAACTTCCATTTGCATTTTTATTCTTATTGATTTTAGTCTGCTTAGAAAGTAGAAAGCAGGGCACATTTATCTTCTTTAACTTGGAAGTTCCAGCAGTAAGTTTGCTAAAATTACGTTTATTTGTCTATAAATTGCTTCCCCAATAGTCATAGGTTTATTTATCTAAATTCATTTAGTTATTGGTGTAAGATTTTTAGGCCACAGTCAATAATTTTTCATCCTCTTACATGGTAAAATTATCTCTCAATTTGATATAAGATATAACTTTAAATTTAATCACAGAGTCCATGATCTTGCTGTAGGACAATGAAAAGCTAAGAAAATTCTGGGACATGTGGAATGGGGAAACTGAGGCAGGAAAGTTAAACAAAGCCAAACAGCTTTGCAGGCTGCTTGTAGCAGGGCCTTATCTTGAGAACAAAGGGTTAGAACTTCTCCTCACAGAAGAACGCAGGAGAGGAGGGGAAGGGCGGGGGAGAGGGGGAGGAGGTATCAGAGACGCTTAGTGCAGCTCATCCTGACTTGTTAGAACAGCAGGGAGGTGGAGAAAGGAGGAGTATAAACAACAAAAGCCAGTACTTCCCATACATGTGGAAAAGTCATAACAAAGAAAAGGGGAGACTCTTAGAGTTAATCTGTACCAGGATATCTGGCAGAGGAATTTTTCTAAAAACTCGTAGACAGAGGGGTATATAAGGCAGAAACCCCTCGTCCCACCAGCTCTTCAGATTAGTTGGGAGCCTGTCTGCGCGTCACAAGCCAGATATATAGGTTTCCTTGCTTGGCTTCATTAGTAAATATGAATGCTTTAATTTTTTAATAAATTCACATCAAAACACAATCAAGGTCGCTCCTATAAATTCATTTATATGAGAAGACAAAGATCCAGGTTGAAGACAGCCTGCTCCCTCTGACTCAGGGGGCTGTCCAATCACACCTCTCTGGTGTCTGTGAGAGGGGCCTGTCACAATCTGTGGCCTTGTGTTTTGATGGTATTATCCATTTACTCTTCATTGTATTAGCTTCACTGATATGCCATGTTTGAGCAAAATTTAAGTCAAATTACACTAACACTTTAACTTTCCCAATCACAGATATTTATTCATGTATATTCTTATATATAATTCTTAAATAAGAAAAATGTTAATAACCAATTTGTTTAACATACTGTTTAACCTATGCCCTAATAAGTCATAGCATACATGCAACTATCATTTTATTAGAATAGTTAGATATGGTATTTCTGATAGACTATAAGCACCTGCTAAATGACCTACAGACTTTAAAGTATAATTTGTTTATTTCAAACAGCTACATGGGCATGTTAGGCTCATGCAGTGGTAGGTACTATCCTAACTACACTTTTAATTGAGTAGTCAACATTAAATTAAATGTCTACAGCATGTTAACCCAGTGACAGCAGAGACAACTCAAGTTGTCTTGGAGGCTCAAGAAATCAGTGGAATAGAACAGTCATAAAAGATAAAAGCAGTAACTGACTTGGAAATGCACGTGACTCAATCAGCAGTGAACACACACACACACACACACACACACACACACACAAGGAGTTGTAAGGAACCTGAATAGAGAAGGCAGGAGCACAAGCAGCCAATAGCAAGACCAAGAAAGAAGTTGGGCTGAGGACAGAATGGAGAAAGGGCTGAGAGAAAACAGAACTGTGTAAGTCCAAAGAGGAGAGGGAGTAGCAAATATCCTAAAAATAGTGACTAGAGCAATGCTATACTGAGATAAATTATTATCTTAGATAAGTCAACTGTTTACTTGTTTGTTTATTCATTGACTTACACTATATTCTGCACTAAAAAAAAGCTTCAAACTAGTTTTCAAAATCTGTAGAGAGCAAAATCACTAAACATGAACGAAGAAAAACAATGAGGGTGAGAAACAGACGAAGACAGTGGGGTGTGTTAGTAAACAACACTCATGTCACACAGTCCTATTTATGTTCCCAACAGCCAAAGCAAACAGGAAAATGTAATCTGTTACAAGGTTTCCAGGGGCCATAAGGAGAATACTCCAGCTGCTCATCAGAAGCACATGGGTTGAGACTTCAGTGAAATGCATCTTATGTGCTTTTAATTAAAGAACAGACGTGAGATGAAGTAGATGACATTTTCAATGTCATTTCTACAATATATATGATATAAAATTCTGAGTGATGTTACTATAATTTGTCTCAGTTCACTCCAAATCATAACTACATAAATATTTCAGAAAAGGCAATTATGTAAATGATCCACATAAGCCACTCCCCAGATGGTCTGGCCTATTCAAGAACAAAATTCAGAATATCCAAAGCACATCATATCCTTTAGATAATCCTCAATGAATAGTTTCACAACAAATAAATCACTCACGAGAAAGTCTCTCATAATATTGTCATTATCTATTCAGAAGTAATTTGACAAATAATTTCTGTCTAGAAAATGCAGCCAATTAATTACATGTTTTCTAAACTAGGGAACTCATGATTAAATACCATCTACTTACCTTAATGTCTGCTGATTTCCCTTTTTCTTCTCTGGGGAAAGTCATATCATTTTATAAAATGTGAAAGAGAATTATTCTTAGGAATAGCTCCCCGGGTTGTTGTTCAGACTTTGTTTATAGGGTAATTCTGAAAATGCTATAAACTTGGAGAGATTACAAGTGTGTCTTATTTTCAGTAAAATAAGTGTCTGAATTCAAAATCCCAAAACTCCAGCCTTCAAAAAAGGTTTTTGTTTTGTGTGTTTCCATTATGGGTGTAAACAGCGCTATTGACCTAAAGAAGCAGTATCAGATGTCAGAAAAGCTCTCATTTTGACACAGTGAAAATGAACTCAAGTTGTATAGTGCCTAAATGTGAGCAAAAGAGAAATAATGCCAGGAAACCCACAAAGCTTAAATGCCTGAAAGTGAAAAGTGTTACACTCGGGGTGGCTCATCACAGGCCGTGTGCATGTGACTTCCAGGATTTAGTGGAGCATGTCTGAAGGACTCTAGCCCACGGACTTGACAGAGAGACACGTGTAGTTAAAGGCAGTGAAATGTTACCTCAAATCAGCAGCTTGCCCCGTCTTGTTCATACATGTAACCTCTCTGGTCTGATAGCCAATCTGGATGTCCCAATATTTATTCTCTTGGCGACTCTGTCTGTTTCTATTTCTTTTTTTCTTAATCAGTTCCCGGGCCTCCGGATCCTTCACTCCTCTTCCCCGGTCCTTCTCCCGATCTTTATTCTTCCCCCGTCTCCTTGCCTGCCTGGCTGGTCTGGAGTGGGGCATGGAGCACGCGCTCCAGGGCCCCACGTGCAGGCTGTGCATGCTCTCCTCGGCTTCGCACGGGCTGGACTGGCACACCTGGAACTCCGTCAGGTTCGGGCAGCCGGAGCCCCCGAACTGGGGCGGCGCCACCACGTGCCGCGTGCGGTGCTGGAGGCCACTGCCGCACGTCTTGGAGCATTCAGACCAGGCGGAGAACTCGGACACGATGCAGTCCTGCTGGCAGGGGATGAGGCACGCCTGCTCCAGCAGCGGCTTGGGCTCAAAGTACTCGCAGATGATGTCCTCCGCGGGAACGTCCTTCTCCTTCTGCACGCACGTGATCTCTCGCACCTGGATGCCTTCCTCCCCCTTGACGCACTCCAGGGCTTTCTCCAGGCTCTTGGAGATCACCGGCTGACACGGATCCCAGGGCCCCAGCCTCCAGTCGTACAGCTCTTTGTGCCAGTCACAGACTTTGAAGCAGTGCTGCTGGTTGCTGGGCCTCTCGGCCTGCTTGCAGTTGGTGTGCAGCGTGGTCCAGCCTTCGGCGTGCGCGCACCACACGGCCCGGGTCTGCACGCCTCCGGGGCCGCAGTCATCGCCCATGCACCGGCCCCACGGACCTGAGGACGACACGGGAGTTAGTGCCACGAGAAGGAAACCACAGGGACGTCACGCTCCAGAAAGACATTTCGGGATCTAGCACATGAGGTCCCCTGAAGTGTGAGAAAGTAGGTCCCCGGACAGGGTTGGAAAGGGACCGTCTTCACTCTGGGTTGCGGAAGGCGAGCTGGGTCAGGGTCTGTGTCAGGTAACCGCTGGGACAAATTCCTCTGGGTCCTTCTGGGATTATTAAAAGCTCGCTTTTATTAATTTCCTTAACTTTAGGTTGTTAGCGAGCCCATGCTCATAAAGGACATCGGAGATTTGTCACAGTGAAAACCTATCCCTGCTCATAACCATGATCCATCTCAGTAACCGGGGAAGGAGAGGGACCCAGGTGAGGGACTTTCTCTCTCCCAGGCTTTTCTTTGCCCCAGAAATTAACTATTGAGCAGAATATGCTCTGTTCTGCCTCATTTCATAATGCACGGGGACTAAGAGTCTAATAGTTGTGTATGTGTGTGCTGACAGAAGTGTTTACATTCTGGTAACCAAAGTGAAATCTTCATTTATGCACATTCTACCTATAAATTGATCATTTTTCTCATCTCCCCAGTAACATTTAAAAATAGACAAAAAAATTTAAATTTACCTAAAAGACTATTGCAATTTTCTGAACAGTGAAGGGTTATTTGGAGTTGAATCAATCTATTCATTTCCTAGGTATGAACTGTTTGTATTTTGGAGTTGTTTTATGGGATACTTAAGTCAGGGGCTTTAGTGTGAAATGAGGGCCTTTAACCTTTGAATCCTTCTTAGCATAGATTAAAATCCTCTTACATCTGCATCTATTCTTTCTTTTTTTTTTTTTTTAAGGTAGATAATAGGATTTCAGAACATTAACAGAAACCTCAACTTATGAAAATGAGAATTATATTACTTTAAAATTTTAAAGAAATATAATGGTTACATAATTGCATGATTTTCAAAACGTGTTCCATGGAATTTGATAAATTATTTGATGTAGCCTAACACCATCTTTTTTTTTTTTTTTTTATCCTTACCTGAGGACATTTTTCCATTTCAGATAGAGTGGGAGGGAGAGAAAGGAAGAGAGAGAGAGAGAAACATCGATGTGAAGGGACACAGCGAGTGGCTGCCACCGCACGACCAACCAGGGCCGGGGACAAACTGCAACCGAGGTACGTGCCCTTAGCGGGAACCGAAACCGGGTCTCTCTGGACCGCAGGTCGATGCTCCAACCACTGAGCCAAACCGGCCAGGGCTAATGCCATCTTTAACAGGTCGCATGGAAAGGTACAGGCCAGCATACAGGGTTGGGCTCCAGGGGCCCCCAACCCCACCACACTGCACTCCTCCCTCCCTCATTGTTGCTTCTATAAGAAAAGTTCCATTATTATTATTTATTTTTATACATGTTGAGATTATGCAAAAGATTTTGTCTGACAAGATGTTTCTGTTGCCATAGAGTGAAAACCAGTAAATGAGGCCAACAGATTCCCTCTATGAATGAAAAGAACTGGCGGCAAGAAGAGGAAGTGATTTGCCAAGTTCACATCTTGAATGAATAACAAAACCATCCTTGATTTTGGATCCCAATTCTGACTTTTAGTTTCATGATTTATCCTAGATTTCAGAGCTCGAGACTTAGATACGCCTACATGAAATGAATAATCCACATAGAATAAAATATGAAGAATGTGCTTATTATGTTTAATATAAACATTTGTTTATTTATAAAGGAAAATGTTTGCATTTGATAATGTTAACTTCATTACAAATGGAATAATGGAGTTGTGAACAGAAAAGAGACAGACTGAAAATATTGTGCTAACTAATCATTATTGCATGAAAATAAGACTTGTACATTTGGCATACCCACGTCATTACTTCATAAATTTACTATGTGAAGAGTCATAAAGAGACTTACATTTACAAAAATAGTCTTCCCAGAGTGCTGATGTCAAAACTTTATGAGCTAAGAAAGTCAGTTGAGTTTGTTACATCTGTCCACATGTAATATCTAATATTTAATTTGTCAAAGAAAAATATACATAAATATATAAATATATAAATATATATATATATAAATATAAATATATATATATATAAATATAAATATATAAATATAAATATATATATATATATATACTCATAAATTTGTTGAAACTCTCTTAGAGATTTTGTGACTATTCAGTGTATGAATCACAGAACCTAGGACACTTCTCAATAAGGGAACATAGTAACAGGCATAAAATTTTAGAATCAATGCCCTGGCCAGTTTGGCTCAGCGGTTAGAGCGTCGGCATGCGGTCCAGAGAGACCCAGGTTCGGTTCGGCATGTACCTCAGTTGCAGTCTGTCCCTGGCCCTGGTTGGTCGTGTGGGTGGCAGCCACTCAATGTGTCCCTTTCATGTCGATGTTTCTCTCTCTCTCCCTCCCACTCTATCTGAACAAAAAATGGAAAAATGTCCTCAGGTGAGGATAAAAAATAAAAAAATTTAGAATTAATTCCACATATCTTTGATATTTATTCCTTTTCTCCACTGTGCTTGAACAAATCAGTAATCCTTATTTCCTAGCCTAAATAGAGCATATAAGGATACATTTATGCTGCCCTGGCTTGTGTGACTCAGTGGCTGGAGTGTTGGCCAGCACACCAAAGCATCTTGGGTTCAATTCCCTATCAAGGGCACATATCTAGGTTGCAGGTTAGACCCCTGGCACCAGTTGGTCGGGGTGTGTCTCTCTCACATTGATGTTTCTCTCTCTCTCTCCCCAATCCCTCCTTTTCACTCTCTCTTAAAAAAAAAAACAAATCAATGGAAAAAAAAATCCTCAGGTAAGGATTAACAAAAAAAAGAAAAGATAGGTTCATGTTGGACCCTCAAATTAGGAGTAAGCTATATGCCATTACATCTAAATTTCAAAATGTAAGTGCCTTGCATTAATTTAGAGTCTAAATTCCAGATGTAACTAAGGAGAACTTCTTGATATTTTATTGTTTTCTAATCTTTGATATTTTTTAAAATTTATTTTATTGTTGAGACGATTACAGATGTCCCCCATGTCCCCTCCTTTTAACTATGAAATTAGTCTGATGAATCAGATTAGGACTATTAAAAGTTAGTCTTTTATCCTCAAAGTAAGAATTTTAAAAATTTACAACTAATTGTAAATTCAGCACTAAAAAATACTTAATTGTACTTTTTAAGAAGGTTGTACTGTTATTAATGGTTGTGTTTAAACTAACTGATGAAAATTAATACTTTATTATAGAAATCTGAGTATACATAATACGAATTGACTTCAAGTCTGTATGTAATTTCTAAGTAAGAAAAACACACACGCCAAAAACAAAATCTCCAAAACTATGAAGCAGAACTATATAATACTAGCTAACTATTAAATTTGAAAATTATCCTAGATAAGAACTGGTAAAGATATTTAACTCTTATAAACCAAAATTCAGCAAAAACTTCAGGCTTAGTTCTAAGAGTTTGCAAAAATAAAAGTGACTGATGGCTACTCTGAAAATGACTCACGGGTTACCATCATCAAATCAGGGAGCGTTTCCACGTTTCTCACATCATGCTTATCATATTTCAATTAGTTTACTAAATGATTGTTTGCCAACTATCTGTCTGTCACAGTAGACTAACTCCGTGGCTTCATAAGACAGAACTTTACCTATCTTCTGCAATATTTGGTTTGATCACATCTTTTAATTTTCACAGCTGGCCTTAGAATAAATTTCTTCAATCATTTTGTTTAGAAAAGAGAACTTAGTTTGTTGATCTTAGTATCCAAGGTACTAGATGTTTGATGTCAAAGCCAGCAGAAAGAAATTGAGTTCAAGAAAACTTCTATGCTGTTCATGCACATTGATAACGAGTAAGCATTTTTAATGTTTACTTACGTAACTGGGAAGAGCATACATTCTGAATACAAATACAATTCAATTTTCATTCCAAAAACATCATCACAGATTCCTATTAACCATCTATTTAGAGATAACCCTGTTGGGTTTATTTTATTCCAAGTATATTTACATTGAGAATCAGAAGACAGGCAATCCTGAGAAAATTCCATGGAGATCTATAAAAGCACCCTCTAGGCTGAAGGAAGATAAAATGCATGAGGGCACCATCGAAAGTGGAGGTGGTAAAATAATCACAAGTGAACCTGAAGAAACCCATTCACTTTGCAGGTTTTAACTGCTGTCTTATCTTTTCATTGCACCTTGGGTATTACACGTGTCCAATTAACAGACCTTTTGAAAAATCAGATCTTTGCCACGGCACGCCTGATGAAGGGCTGTCTACTTCTTTCCTCCAGCAGTTTTAAAATAACCACACATTGAACAGAAAGGGGCCCACATATAAAATTACTCTTGACAGCTAAGAATTGTTAGCCCAATTAGCTACCATGTGTCATGGAGAACAAATGTTTCAAAGGGCAATCGGAAAGCATGATATGCAAACTCTACCAAGGAAAACACAAAGAAGTCCTCTCCGAGTACCATATGGGACTGTGATATTGAACTCCTATATCTCTGCCTAATGTTAAATTGTAGCCCTATGCCTCCTGTTACTAAGAGAGGGAAATGGTGCTGTTGGAAAGGTGGCGTGTGTTTGTTCACTTGCTTGTGTGTGGGGGGATGTTTGCTTTCTAACGAGAACAGAAAGAATTTCCATTTGCTTAAAACTTGCTTCACTTGTTGTTCTTGTTCACTATAACACAAAGGGAACTTGGAATCCAACTGCACAAGAAGAAGGATAGGCAGCTTTGTACTTAAGGTCTTGGAGAATATCCCTTTGTAAATGGAAATGTATTCCTGTACAGATTTGGAGGATTGTGTTCCTTCAGTATCATGCAAAACACTTCTAGGATGTAGGTCAAAAAATATATGTAGAACATTTAGCCTGACAGATTTTATGTAAATCAAGAAAGAAACACTGGATGTCTTATTCCAGTAAAAAAAAATTTAAATCAACTG